AAAGTTGGCTGAAATATATTGGACTTGTTGATTGTGGACATTTTTATGAACTATGTTTTTTTGTGGACCACGCATTCTCGCCTCACCGAAGGTTCTGGTAGTGCTTCTTTGAGGCTCATCCTACTAGGAGTATCTATTGTTTTCTGTCTTTCGGTACCTATTTTTCTTGCGAAAATTTCGTCTGCTCATCTTTTTGATGCTAAGGCCTTTTAAGACTTATTTTGCGATCAACACTACGACTCAATATTTGCTAGTGAGTTCAAGCATGCGAACAACACATTGTGATCTGTATTGCTCCCCTTTTTTCGTAAGTGTGCAAAGAACTATTTATACTGCAATTCACGCATGATAGTTTTTTTTAATTGAAAGTATGAAGACCAATATGGCGTGGCCTTTTGTATGGTCACAGTCTCCTTTCTTTCTATAGAGGTTGTTTGACCTTGTTTTCGCAATATTGGCAAGAAGACTTAGAGGGAGTCCAGAGTCAATTGTATGCACGTTCATTTCCAAAGCCGGACCGTGGAAGTGGTACATTTGCATACGTACTGTCAGTCAACTAGATCCAGTCTCCGTCGCGTCTATCTTGTTTCTATCCGAAATACCAAGTATCTGACTTGCTATGTCTTAGTCTCTTGTGTGCTAACTCACAAACTTTGTGGTTCAACATTGAACTAATCAAATCAAGCAGTACCACAACATTTGCGGGTTGGCACAGGAAGTCACAGACTTAGTATTAGGAATAGAAACAGGATAGACGAGGCGGAGACTGGATCTAGTCGGCTGATAGTAGGTATTTTGTACCATAGACGCGGTCCATGTAGCAAAAGCTTGGCGATGAGACTTACTCAGAGGCTTGAGCCTCGAATTAGTCACCCAGACGCAGGGAAGGGCGAATAACGCCTCGAGTAGCACAGTTGGGGTGGCAGGGGTCGAGTGAAATACGTGAATCCGGGAGAGAGCAGACGGATCTTACCGGGGGCAAGAGAGTGACTCTGATAAGATCTAGGAAAGGATAACTGTGTAACAATATGGCAGACACTGATCAATATTCCCACCACAAGGGTGAAGGGGGGGATGATAATGCTAGCGTGGAGTGTGGAGGGTTTCATAAATACCACTCAAAGGAGCACAGCACACTACTTCGAAAAAAGCACGGTACAAATTGTAACAGTGAAGGTATGATACACGATAATATAGGAAATGTGAATTGCCCAGGGCAGAAGGAGAGATACCACAACTGTTTAGTACACATTTGGTCAAATGATCGGCTTCATTTGTAACTTTGACGAGTTGTTGTGTGGTGCTAAGAATGGCAAGACTCACTGACGATGCCTGCGAAACGTCTGGAGATGTACCTTTTCCATGGTCCGGCTCTGGAAAGGATCATGCATGCAATGGACTCCGGACTAGGTGCGTTCCTCTAAGTCTTCCTGTCAATATGAGTAAGTTACGAAAACATCGTCAAACAACCTTTATATTAAAAAAAAATTTTATTCAATCTAATTAATATTTTTAGTATAAAATTGTTATTTGTGTTGATAAAACGAGTGGATCAAGTTATCAGTGGGAACGTGGTTTATCTGAACCTAGGTTATCAATTCTCAAAATCTAATCATAGCCTCCTAGGCAGGTTTAACATAATTTTGCGAGTTTTGATATTTTTCGGGCTTTCCCAACTGCTTGAATAGGTTATATTCGCTTGTGAGATTTTTGCTATATATTTTACAGGGAATTTTACTCTGTAACAGGTATTTTTTAATTTTAGTTTCTTACTTTTTCTCTTTATAATATCTTCTTTTACCACTTCTTCATCCAAACCAATTGAGGCTTTTTAGCCTGGAGATGTCGACCTGGCAGGGCCTAGTGGATCTCATTTTCAGCTGGGGAATCCTATTGCTCACGGAGCTTCTGCCGGCACCATTCTCAGAACTTGCTTTCCTCAACAGGCTGCTTAGCGTTCTAGTCCATTTTACCGCAAAGTAGGCTTTATCACCTTTTTTATCATCGTTATATTCTTCCTATTATCTTTATTGTTATTATATTCACTAAGTGGCATTACCGGAAAGTGTGATTTATACGAAATGCTATTGGTATCTCCTGGATGATAAAAATTGAAATCTAGTGTAAGTAAAACATGATGAACTTGTGTATCCGATCTGTTTTTCGAATCTTTCTTGTTAAAAATTCAAGAAAATTGTATTTCAATATAAAATATTAAAAACATTTTGTTCAAACACAATATTCTTAAATCTATATGGATTATGCCCTTTGGTGTTGAACCTCTGCCACGATAAAAATACCTATTAAGGAAGCGACTCTTCGCAGTTATTAGTACGGCCTTTTCAGAAAATTAACGTGAACCTATTTTGTCTCCAAACAGCCTTTCTCCATCCGTTTGGATACACCTGATCATTGTAGCAGAGGATGAACCATTTAATGAGCCCCGCTGCCTCTGGCCCCCGAACCTTGTAAGAAACTGCCTCCTCATGCTCCGACTTTGCACCTGTTTCATCCGCGCCTTCGATACTGGCCGCAATGCAGTTAATTCACCTCTCATCTCCGGCATGGCTGAAGCTAACGCAAACGAGAACCAGCTAGTTTCGGGCTCCAAACATCACTCTTTTCTCGGGTTTGGGCTTATCTCCAGTCTGCTCCAAGTGACCTGCCAACTTGTCAAACTGCTGTTAGAGGCCCGGAAAATCAAGCTCCTAGAAACTGACAAGCCTGCTATTTCACGAGATCTGTATCGGGAACTAGAAGCTTGGCTTTCAGATACCGCCGCCTGGATGCCTCTGCTGACCTACAGACAGGCTGAGGTATCATCTTTGCTTATTTGCTATTTTCATTTTTTGAATTTTCATGTAGTAAAAAATACCTTGGCAACCTTTTTATCTACTTAAATGTTTTGGTAACATTTCCTTGGTTGATTCATTCCTATCCATTTTGAAGACGATTTAGGGACTTAAGGAAGTGTTTGAAAGTCAAATTGGTTAATAGATGCTGTAATACACATATGGCGAGCTCTTTGCTGTATTTTTAGAGGATAAAGCCTGCTGTTAAACAATATAGGACAAATACTCTCCTTGTTTATCATTATTTTTAAATAAAGATATGTTATCTTGTACTTTTAAGTATAATATTCATCTGTTTTTCGGCATTTTTACCTTAGAGTTTTGATTATGGGTTTCTGCGAGTCCTTTACTCCCAAAATAACTTAACAACTGTCCAAGTTCTTTTCTCGCCTTTATCTCACAAAGGCTCCAAGTTTGCTATAATCCACAAATATCTAGGACGTTTTATCGTTATTTATTCTGTGCACCTCATTAATTTACCTGTAAATATTTATGCCATATTTAACAATTTTATACAAAAAACGGGTTCGGGTGGAAAATATAGGTATTTTTCTTCTTTTATTGGTTTACCTAGCACCTATTTGCACCAATAGAGCTGACTTGCGCCTTATTTGGTTGCTGAATATAGTTTATGGCTGAATTTTGAACATGTTAATTGTGACTTGTGATTTGTAAGATTACCAAATTTCCATATTTGGCAAGTGAAGAAATAATGTTACATATTCTACTGATTGTTTACAGAGTGTGGACACGTTTCTTAGCGAGGAGCGTGAATAAAAAATATTAGCAACTTTATCTGCTAGGTAGTTTTGCGCACAGTCCTAACTTCGTAATGAGAATGCCATGGAGTAGAGGCGTATTTAGTGTTGAGGGATAAAAAGCAGAGGGAATGCATTTCTTCCAAAATACATATGTTAGTGTATATTATACTGACTTTATATAAAAATATATTTGGCAATTTCGATTCAGGGATCAAATTAGACCCTTTTATATTTGTTATAGCACTCGATCGACTTTGCAAAATGTCGCAACTCACATTTAATTTAATATCCAGTTTTGCTTTATATTAAACATTTTTTTGATTCATCCCTGTAGTATCTTGGCGACATTTAAGTACACTTATTGAAACTCCGTTTTGTTTATAGTTCGCTTTGTCACTTTTTGAATGTTGATACCCAATCGACATGAAACCTATTTTCACGACTTTTCCATTTTATAAATTGTATTAACTGGTGATTTGCTTATTGGTATTCAGTATATTTCAGGTCTTTGAATTTTTGATGGGCGGATGGCTGCAACTGTGAGTTGAAGGCATTTTTTCGAAAGTGGTTGGATCTAGTCTGCCAATGCAAACTTCGAATTCCTCTATTTCTTCCTTACCGGTTGCCTTCCATTTTTTGGTATTTTTTTATTATTTCTGCGTCTAATATTAGCCACTTCAGTTTTTTCCAAATTCAGATCTTTTTAAATTTGCTTTTTTTACCCATTTCTACCCTAGCTCGACTAACTTAACCATTAAGATCACCAATTATGTGATTTAAATTTACATTTGTACAGACGAGTGATGTACATTCTGCCGATTTTCTCTTATGCGCTCATGAATTTTTTGATGAAATGCCTGCCAACTTTGCGAATATAATTGTCACAAAGTTTACTCCCTAGCATATTGTCTGGTTTCATAGGGGCATTAGGCCAGCAAAGCGAAACACAATGTCCTCGAAATAGCTACTTGACAAGCCGGTGACAGCAGCAACGATAAAGCGAAGCAAAAATTTCTTTGTTGCAATTGCGAACAGGGATAAATCAGCAGCTTAGGTTATTTTTTTCAAAGATCTAAGGATCTGTCACTGGGCAGGAATATTTCCTTTGCTTGACAGTCATTAGATTAGGATAAACGGAACTTTTTGAGTGACCGAATTATACCACTCAAATGCTCTCTTCAGCTGAACCGTCTTACGATCATTTTATTTGAATGGCGCGTCATAAAGACGAGATTAGAATAGTGATAAAGTGGAAAATTGCTGTACGTCTTTAAGTACTATTAATTGAGAACACTTAAGATTTGTCCTCAGACTTATTCTAGAACTGCAGTTAACATAACTGAATATTATGATCTTCCTCAGCTACTTCACCGCTCATTCGGTCATACCTTGACTAGCAAAAAAGAGATATTCTCAGGCTCTGAATGAGGAGATCTTGCTATTAACAAAGTGCTGGGGCAGCATCAAATGAGCATATTTTCTAGGTGAACCTACTGATATCTTTCGAACGGGTTCCGACAAACGAACTCACTCTTAGCTTCCAGTTGTAGAGCTAAGAATATTAAGAAATTAGAATTTAATCATGCTAGGTC